GGGTTTAATATTTTTCCTAGAACTTTTTTTTTTTTTTTTTTTTTTTTTATTGCAGAAAGATATATATATATTTAAAAAAAAAAAAAAAAAAAAAAAAAAAAAAAACAAAAAAACAAAAAACAACAAAAACCAGTGAACATTTCTATTCACATTCAACCATTCTTCCAGAGTACACAATAGGAGTTCAGATAATCCATGAAAGCCCTATGATTTCTAGAATTGACTAGAATTGACACATGCAGAAGTAACCTCAATTAACTTGACTAATTTTTTTTTCCCAAAAGAGAATGAAATGCAAACATAACATCTCAAGAGTATAAGCAGTACAAACTAAAGAGGACAGTCACTTCTCAAATTGAACCATCTCAATTGTTGTCAGAAACATGACAAGAAAAGTCATACAAGCACGTGATTTTTAACCAGGTGGGATCCTTCCAACTTGAACAAAATACAATTTTAGAATACATAACTTAATTGACTCTTCTTTTTTTTCATCAGGACTGCCTATATTGTATGTGATTACCTGGCTCTGTTTTATCTCCAGACCCAAGGTAGTCAGCAGAAGACTCTCTGCAGGTGAGAGAGCAAAAAGTAAACTGAAGGTGCAGGTGCACCATCAAGAGAAAAGAGCATATCTGGAGGGTAAGACAAGTGAGGGAGCAGAGATCTCCATGAGCCCAGCAACAACAGCTGAAATTCTCTGTCCCTCAGCATTCAACCTGGTGATTTTAATGACTAATTTAGTTTAATAGATACTCATTAGTCCAAATGTCCAGTGAAAGCTGCAAATAAGTAATCAGGCTGTTTTTACACACATGCCCATGTTCAGTTTAACATAACTACTTCAGCCTCCAGATTTCAACACTAATTGTTCTGAATAATTGTTCCTTTCCCTCTTGCACATGCACATCACACAAGACAGAAAGACACTCTAGATCACTTTTTTTCCCCCACTTCCTTTGGGTACTAAAAGGTTCACTTCCCAGGGAGAAGAAGCCATGTGAACGTTTCCTTCAGGGCTTTAGCACCAACACCACAGACAGCTCTAACTGACAGTTGGAACTGTTGAGCCAGAAGAGACTGCACAGTTACCTTTCCACGCTGGAGTCCTGTAGCAGGTACGGAGAGCATTTCACGGCATAAACCGTTCTCCACCTCTTATGCTTGACTTGGTACACATGCCCAAAGCCTCCACTGGCCACTTTAATCCAATCTTCTTCAAAATCCTCCTTATTGAAGACAGTTAAGCTCCCAAGTTGCCGGTCTTTCTCCGAAGTCATGACCAAAAAGGCAGCCTGGCTCTCTGCCTCCTGCTCAGATGCTATCAGAGAAGAATAAAGGAGCTCTTCCTGCTTCTGACTTACAAAGTGAGGGAGGGAGTTACCTGAGATGAGCCGTGTTGCTTACTGCCAAGAGGTGGATCCCAAGTGTCACTCTCATTTGGTATGCAGATGAGCTGCCTTACTTACAGGCACTTGTGCCAGGCTGGGTACATGTCTGGACTTCCGTAAGGCTGCCCTTCTCTCTCATATCAAGCACTGGGTGGGCAAATACTGAAAGAATACAAGATGAAAAATGGTGCAATGCATCAATCCTTTAGCAATGCACTGTGCTGAAGAGGGGATTCCTCACCTGAGGGTGAAAGTGAGTCGGGCTGATACTTAAAGGGAGGGAAGGCCTTATGCAGAGAAAAATCCCCAAGGTTCCTGTGCAGCATTAGCACGTGAGCCAGATGAAGAAGAAAAGTAGAAAACACTCCAAAAAGATGAAGAACAGAGAGGACCCTGGAACTAGTATGTGGCAAACATGCGAACACGAACCTGAGAAAATACAGGAAAAGGTGGTGAGCAGGAGTGGTTACCTGAGGGATAAAGTATGCCGCTGGATGCCTGCAAGGGGCATTCGAAGAAACAAGAGAATACTGAAGAGCTGGTCTGAGCGGTTAAACCATTGCCATGTGAGCACTAGTAACAGCATGCATGCTTTTAGTTGTTTTATGTAAAACGTAAAACTGCAAAAATGGTTTAATGACATTCATCTGGGTCTTGTGCATTATGTCCTTAATGACTTTGCACAGTGACTATCACTATATAAAGCGAAATACAACGTGATACTGGTTTCCTCAGTAGTACTGCAATACAAGTAAAAATTAATATTTTTAAAGAGTAATTGTCATTGAGTCTTGTCCTGGAATTTTTAGCAAGACATCAGATCTAAAGAAATCCCTGGAGGAAGACTCATCCAAGTGGAAGTGCAAGCTACTTCTCTTTTGCATTTGACACAAGGTGGTCTGGCAATGGCTCATTACTCACAACTGCGAGGCTTTAGGGAAAGAAGGAAAAGGAAAAAAGCCAGTCAGGCTCTGCAGCCTTTTAGGAGGGAAAAAAGCACCAGAGTCTGACACATAATTGATTCCCTGCCCACTCCTTAATTACTGCCCACCAAGCGTGATGCTTCTGCCCCAGGTAGTGCCCCTAGCCACCTCCGCTCCCACATGCCAGCACTCACCCACCAACACAACTTCAGAGCTGAGGACAAGCGCAATGAGGCTCTATTTCTCCATGGTCAGGCACAGGAAGGACAAAACCTTACTGAAATTCTAAAGTTTTATTGTAGAAGTTCAGGAGAAGGTGAGGGACTGGAGGAAAGCACTCTGTGGCTGCAGAATGGCAGCAGCTTCACTTCCTCCACAGAGCTTACAGCTGGGCTGCATTTCTTGGCAATTAGCTCAGGCACATTCTAGGGTTTACCTCAAATTTAATGGCGTTGAAACCACAGGTTCAGAAATGACACAGTCATGCTGATCATTTACACCTTTGTTGACAACAGCTTACATTTCTTTAAATGAATCTTTCCTGCTTCTGCCCCAAACTGGGGAGCAATTTTACGCCAGTCAACTCTGAAAAACACCTTAACTGTGGAATTGGTGCACAAACTCACTAGTTGGCAATTGTGACGCTTTCTTTTGAATTTCCTAAGGCACAAACTTGCGGTGCTGCTCTGAAGTGAGTGGAAATACTGTAGTTATCGAGAGTAGCCTCCTCAGCCTTGAGACCTTGAGGCAGAAGGATGAGGCTGTGATGGTCAGAGGTGAGGCGCTGCCCGCTCTCAAAAAGCCAACTTCAATTTGCTCTGCACGCCAGTCCCATTGCACAACACGTGCAACCGCAGCTCTGCCCCTAACAACTCATACGTCCATGCCCTGGCTCTGAACTGGTGCCCTGCCAGCTACAGCCCAGACCAAAGATGAACTGACAAAAATCAAAACATCGCCCTACCACCAAACTCATCTCTGGAAACCACCACCTGATCCCCCCGAGAGTCCCCTTCCAACCAGCCAGGACCAACACAAACAGCAAAAATTCCAATGGCTGCTGAACATTAAAGGTGCATATGTGGTGTAATTTTGCTGGCATCAGTTAAACCACAGCTGGGCAGGAAAGTAGGTAACACACTAATATATTGTTGGAGAAAGCATTTTATTGAGTGCCCTCAGCACTGAAGAGCTGGGAAAAGGGCGGGGGCAGAAGCTGTTTCAGGACAGAGAGGAGGAACGTCTTCTTCCAGAGGCTGAGGTCCAGCAGCTTCCTCCCCTGTGCAGATGCTGAAAGAGAAGCATTCAGAACAGCGGAAACCACCTCAAAATCCCTGCTCCCAAAAACTCGTTCCCCGGTGTGCACACAGCCTCAAAGGACACTTTGGGCGTCTGCAGAGCCCTTCCACCCCCCACAGCTGGTGCAGCAATATCAAGGTACAAAAAGTAGTTTTCAGAGCACTTTGGGAAGTCGTGTCAACTTAACGCAGAATTGAAGCACTTCTACAGATCTCGGGAATTGCAATGAGCCAAGTACCTGCTCCAGAGGCACAGAAAACATCCCCAAAGGGCCAGGGATGCTTTATGTGACCACAGCGCTGGAGACAGGAAGGTGCCTTCCCAGGAGTGCCGTTCTTGTGCCCCTTCTTCAGTCCGCTGCCACTCCCCACTCCTCTTCTCCTCGCTCCTGCCTGGCGGTTCCTTCCACGCACGATGGATGCCTCTTCCTTCTTCTCCACCAGAAGCTGCTGCAACGGCAAAAGGACGTGGTCAGGACCGAGAAGCCCCCGCTCCTCCCCTTGGAGGACAGAGGGACGCCGGGCCGGCCCCCGGAGGGAGCTCTCCAGCGCACCGCCCGACCCCGGCCGTCCTCCCACACCTACCCCCTACCCC